AAAAAAAAAAAAAAAGAACCCAAGTAAAACATTTTATTCCGTTCATACAAAAAACAATGGTACGAAGTCTACCTGACAAAACATCTGCAGCTAGAATCTGGGAGGAAATTAAAAAGATGTACAAAGAAAAACAAAAATATTTGACCACATGCCAACAGTGCCAATCAGCCCCCAAAGTCCCTTCACATTAGCGCGACACACCCCTCACTCACAGGTCATCAGTAATACTCAGGATGTATCGGCTACAAAAAACTGTAGACAAATCAGAACGTTCTGATCCATCCCCTTCCCCGTTTTTAGTTTCTCAAACTAAATCCTCCTTCCATGGCGAACTCAAGGGCTGGAATGGTTCCCCTCTGCTCAACGTTTAGTATGGCCGGTCTCTTCTGTCGTCTCTGCGGTCACCCCTGAGGAGAAAACACAAAGATGTGTTATATGAGCCGTCACTGAACTAACCATTATCCTCTGACAAATGAAGGTGAGATATGATGTCAACTTCTCAACCACCAAGCTCTTTGCATTTTAAATCTCTGAAATGGAAAACATAACTTGCCTTCAATAAAGCAGACATCCATTAACAACCCCCTTCTTAACGCAGCAGTTCACCTTCAGTCAGCTCAAATAAATCAGAATTTGTAATCAAGGGGAACCAAAAACACTAAGTTGAGGCTGTAGCGAGAATATCGAGATGCTTGAAACACTTCAGGGTAAAGAGCCCTGAAGTGATGGTGCAATTAATCATTTTTACACCAATTTGAGTGTGATCTTGATGGATTCAATCTCTCCACCAAACATACAAAGGGAATGGAGCAGCTTCTTACAGCTGAAAGAAAAAATACTCAGTTACACTGCAGAGAAAGGTTTTGCTGCCTCCCAGTTTAAGAGGCAGCACTGATTTAATGTTATACAGACAGTACTATGTATCATTTCCTGTGCCATGACGTTCCTGCACAGTTCAAGTTAAATTCAAGCCTTTTTAATGAAGCACAGAAGGCAATTAATACTAATTTCTGTGAAAGCAGTGACAACATGGCCTAGATTTATTGCACTGTATTTGTTCTGTATAAATAGCACATTCAACAAACCTCTTCATGGCTCACATTACTGGCTATAATAGGCAAATGTTTATCTTGTTGTAAATATAGTTAAATATAGACTTTATTCTGCCAAAGCCTTTTATGTGGAAACTGAATTCTGCTTTTATACATCTAGGCCAGCACACTAATATCTAGTAAAAACTGTATAACGTATGTGTGTATATAATCAGTACAGCATTTATCATCAGCTCTCTGAAGACAGGTTTGAAAAGATTTTTTTTTTTTTTCAAGTCAAAATGTTTTAAAGTCAATTTATTCAAGCCTTGCTTTGATCAGGAAACGATCCAAATCTAAGCTTAAATTGGGATCTTATACCAAAATCTTCATGGTCCATATGTCTCACTCAAAGAAAATCACCAAAAATTATTTGTTGGCACTACCCAGATTTTGATTTGAAAGGGAAAAAGAAAAAAAAGCATTCTGCTCTCTGTGGCGTAACCAAAAAGCCATTTGGGACTCAGCTGTAACGTGACAAAAATTCAGGTACTTCTCAGCTCAACTGCATTTTTTTACTGTACAATAAAGAATGAATGATATTTAACGTTTTCTCATTATTAAATTAATGTCACTCTAACTTTGATGTATTGCAAAGAAGACATCTTTGAGCGCTCTTTACTTCTAGTAAAAGTATGACAGAAGTCAAAATCACCCAGAAACTGCATTGGGTTGTTGAGCGATCACAAGCTAGCTCTGCCCTCTTCTGGTCATAACACCAAACGACACCAACACAGATCCTTTATGCATCATCTTGAACGTAAGCTTGCACGTTGAACT